TTATTTTTTTTAAGATGTTGGGGGTAGGAGTTTATTAATTAATTAATTTATTTTTGCTGTGTTGGGTCTTCATTTCTTTGCGAGGGCTTTCTCTAGTTGTGGCAAGTGGGGGCCACTCTTCATCACGGTGCGCGGGCCTCTCACTATCGCAGCCTCTCTTGTTGTGGAGCACAGGCTCCAGATGCGCAGGCTCAGTAGTTGTGGCTCACGGGCCTAGTAGTTGCTCCGCGGCATGTGGGATCCTCCCAGACCAGGGTTCGAACCCGTGTCCCCTGCATTAGCAGGCAGATTCTCAACCACTGCGCCACCAGGGAAGCCCCTGACCTTTTCTTTTTAAGAAGCACATGAACTTACAGTGTTTTCGTAGGATAGCTTCTCTCCAGAAACAAGCATAGGGGCTCTAAAGTTGCTGCCTCTCTTTTCCTACCCATAGATTTCCCTGATTTAAAGGGCATGGGGAAGATAGAAAAAAATATTTTGAAAAACTTCAGTCAGATTACTGTTCACATTCCTCATTAAAGTGGCTGAGTGAACACTTCCATGGAAGGAAGCCTGGCAAAGTTTCCGCCAAACTAGGGCAGGTTAATGAAGCAAAGAGCCTAGTGCATCTCCTAGAATAGCTACAGCTGCTTATTTTAGGCCTCTGGAACTCTAGATAAAGACCCAAAGGGATAGGAAACAGTGCTTAAAACTGGACTTCAAGATGCTTATCCCTGAGATTCTGATTTTCTGTTGAAGTGTGGACATAGGGAGAAACGTCCAAGAGTTGGGGTGAGAGGTATGCTTAAATGCACAGTAGGTGTCAGGGAAAGTTCAGAGGTATTTTGTATTTCCAAAGGATTGAGAACCTGGTGTAACAGGGTGAATTTAGGATAGATGAGAGTGTAAATATATTTGTTTGGTATCGTGCTGGATACCAAAAGTCAGATTTGTGATTTGTCTGATATTCCTATTTAGTCAACATAGTAAATCTTGCCAGATTGAAATGATGAGAGCTTGAAATAAAACAATACCACTTGTTTAACTGTGACTACTTGTATTCCAAGCACAAAGGGTAGGTTTTTTAACACACCTCTAAGCAGCTACGAAGCAGGCCCGAGACTGGGTGGAGTGGTTTTCTGTTCTTTTAGGTCAGGTATCTACATCACTTTCTTTTTTGATGTTGACTGGAATTCTCTAGTGCTTCTACCAAAGTCACTTTGGATGGCCAGGGTTTTTAAAGGGGGGTTGGGGGTGTGCTTGAGTATTTGGACATGCAAAAAGTTTTATTTCAACCCAGACTCATATGTTTTATTATCAGATTCAGTGTCCAGGGTGAAGTTTTTTAGAGTGATTCGTGTGGCATGAGAGAAGGAATAATTCTAGAGTATACAAACAGACATTTTGTATTAGGGGAAATAAAACAACTGTTTTAAGTTTATTTAAAACAACAGTCATTAATATATTCTACCATCGATCAGAATTCACACCTAATAGTTTTTACACTTAGCTGGAAAATTCTGATCTTTCACTTTTGCCTCTTGGAGACATCTAGCCACATGCTTAGACTGGAAATTGTCATTGTGAAGTGAGATCAAGGATACCTTCAGTGTCAGAGAAAACTTTGTACCATACCCATTTGGCTCCTGGGTTTGGGGATTCTTTGTTCCCACAATTGCCAAGATACTGGCATTGCTAGTGTTGGGCTGGTATGATCAACTGGTTCTTGAATTAGGAAAATGTATGGCCTTGCTAGTCTTCTGTCTGTCACAGCTGAGGAGAACTCAGAAGAGAGTTGCTCTGTGACTCTTTCCTGAACAAAGGATAGGTTTGTTAGTGGGGTTTTTGTTTGTTTTGTTCTTTTAACTTGCATTCCTAATTTTTTTTTTTTTTTTTTTTTTTTCCCCTTGCGTTATGCGGGCCTCTCCCTGTTGTGGCCTCTCCCATTTGCGGAGCACAGGCTCCGGACGCGCAGGCTCGGTGGCCATGGCTCACGGGCCCAGCCGCTCCGCGGCATGTGGGATCTGCCCGAAACGGGGCACGAGCCCGCGTCTCCTGCATCGGCAGGCGGACTCTCAAGCACTGCGCCACCAGGGAAGCCCCCTAATATTTTTTAAAGATCCTAAAATTATAGACTTGGAGACTTTCAGAATTAATGTACTGAAGTGATTTAAGGAGCATGTTCTGAGTTTAAGGAAGTGATGGGTTAACTGCTTTAAGAAGAATTTCTGAAAGGCAAGTTTGCAGGCTCAGCATCCCTGACTGGGTGTGCCTGGGCAAGCTTTATGTTTCATGTCTGGAGAGGGAAAAGGCAAACTGGAGTTAGGACAGAGTTTCAGCTCTAGGCCTGACTACACAAGAGCAGACAAAGCCCTAAAAAAATAGGCTCTAAAAGTAGTTACTTGGGGGCACAAAGAATACCACCACAGCAGTTGTAAACATAAGTTATAAAGATTTGGGACTTCCCCAGTGGCACAGTGGTTAAGAATCTGCCTGCCAATGCGGGGGACATGGGTTCGAGCCTTGGTCAGGGAAGATCCCACAGGCCGCAGAGCAACTAAGCCCGTGCGCCACAACTAGAGCCTGCGCTCTAGAGCCCGTGAGCCACAACTACTGAGCCTGCGTTCCACAGCTACTGAAGTCCGTGTGCATAGAGCCTGTGCTCCGCAACAAGAGAAGCCACCACAATGAGAAGCCCGCGCACCGCAACAAAGAGTAGCCCCTGCTCACTGCAACTAGAGAAAGCCCGTGCACAGCAATGAAGACCCAATGCAGCCATAAATTAATTAATTAATTAAATTAATTATTTTAAAAAGTTATAAAGATTTACTCCTATTTCAGTTTAAAATATGAAGTTGTATCTTAGATTTATAGAAATCTAATAAGTTGGGGAAGTACTGACTTACAGGTTTCTTTACTACAGGACTTCTTTCTTGTTAGAGTTTTTAATATGTGAATTGCTATGATGAACATTGGAAGAGATAATATAGTTAGTGTTTCCCAAATGACTCTGGAACCTTTTTTGCTTATTGTGGGTAAAATACACATGCTACAAAATTGACCATTTTAAAGTATACAATTCAGTGCCATTCACAGTGGCACTGGATACATTCACAGTGTTAGGCAGCCGTCACCACTGTCTGTTTCCAGAATTTTTTTTATGACCCTAAAAGGAAACCCATTAAGCAGTCACTCCCCATCCTGGAACTGTTTCTGATTGAATCCTGAAATTCAATTTGGTAGACATTGCTCTAAAATATTCTGCAAAATATTTGGCATTTCCTACAGTAGCCATTATGGAAGTTTTGAATGTTTATTTGAACTCACATTTCTCTAACATTGTAGAAAATTTCTAATTTGGGGAAGATAGACATTTAGAGCTTAGAAAAGTTAAATAGCAGATTAGTGTCAGAGCTGAAACTAGAATCTAGTTCTTTTGATATCCTGTGTTCTTTCCACTGTGCCATGCTTCGCAATTCAGCAAGTTATATTAGTTAGATATCTTATTTAGTGAATTGTTTGGTATTTTTGTTTCATCAGTGGATAAATTAAGGTTTATAACTGAGACTACGCGACAAACCATACAGTGTCTGTAGATGGACCATCTGTATACATTTTCAAGATACCACTTTGGGTGCGATATATAACAGCTAAAGAGGAGGGTTATTAATTCAGTTATTCAGATATCAGTCATTTGCCCTGTTAATTGATCACAAAGTTTTCTCACTGTAACATTCTAATGTAAAGTATCTTGCAAATATAACAAGTCAATTGCAACAGTCTTTAAAGATACTTTAGGAAGAAGCTACTTGAATAATTTGTCACCAGGAGGCTTTCAAGTTAGAGCTGTGAGCATAGTTTGAATTTTAGCTTGGAAGTAACACGCGTGTTTTGGTGTTATTTCCTTGAAAAGCATTCTGCATCTCCATAAGCAGTTATTAATGATCAGCATATGTCATTGAGCCTTTGGGCTATTGAGACAGAATTAGGGTGACATATTAATGATCTATTTCCTTTTAGGACAAGAAAGAGATGGCCATCAGTGACTGCAGCAAAGGTACAGCTTTTTGGTCTTGTTGCATGTTAACATACAAAAGCATTACCTCAGCTAGACAAGCAAATAAGGAGGCTCTCAGTCAGGTGTTTACTTGTACACATGTACTCTTCTTCTGAGGCAGTTAAAGGAGAAGCTCTCGGCCTTTCTTAGAGGTACTGCACAGTAGTTGTCTTAGTGTAAGCATGCTTTTGAATGGATAGTTCAGTCATTTATCCTGTATTGGTAAATATACGGAGAATAATTCCGAGCTACCTTGGCCACAGAAACAGAGTTTATTCCCTGTATGTCCAAATTACTCTCCTTTGAAACTGAAGTTGAAGATCTTAGTTAGCTGCTATTGGGGCACCTGAATCTGTGTGTTTGGAAGGGCAGTTGCTGTTAGGGAATTGGTACTCTCTTCAGATGTAGTACTTAATCCAAACCTCCTTGCCATCATTTTAATTATCCTTTCAGGTTCCACACAGTGAATCAGGCCTCTGCTGTCTGAGTTCCATCATGGTCCTTTCATTCTACCAACTGATAGAAACAGCCCCAGACATAGGATCACCATTGTTTTTTCCACAAATTTCCTGATAGGCCAGACGGTTGTTTGTCTTGGTGTGGAGAACACACAATCGTTTTCCTTGCATCTTGCTACTCTCATGAGTCTTTCTAGCTAATTACTACTCTTGTAATTTGTGGGTTGTTGTGTTTTTTTTTTTTTCCATTTTCCTCCTTTGGATAATATTTTCTCTGAGAGAATCATAGAGTTAGAAAGAACCTTATATATTATCTAATCCCACTCTCAGACCAAGCATGAATTCCCTCTTCTGTTTTGTTTTTTAGGTTTTTTTTAACATGAATTAGTCACCCTCTCTACTGGATTTCTTTTCTTTATCCTTGGTATTTCTATAGAGTATCTGAAGGAACCTGTTACTACATTAGAATCTAGCAAACTTCTTCTGATCTATTTATCTTGGGCTGCAACTAATTCTGAATGTACTGTTTTGTTTGGAAGAAGGTGTTCAACCTTAATCTGTGTGAGATGTGTGGGTTTGAAGAGTTTAAATTAGGAACAAGATTCTGATTTTCAGTTCTTTTCTCTGTAACCAAGCGGTGAGAAAATGCCTTGTACGCCTGATTAGCAGGGTATACACTAGGAAAGAGAATTCATTTCTAGCTGTAACCCTCAGTGTAGGAGCCAAGAAAATGAGAGGAAGGGGAAGGAAAGTGTTTCCAGCCAAAGTGTTTTCCAGATTTGTTTTTGGATTTGGTTAAATCCGTATTCATGTGCTTATACTTAGTTGTTATGGGCTGCATATGGGTTGTTGAACCCCTATAGGCCAAATACGTTGACACTAGTATGGTTTATTTGTATTAAGGACCCTTCTTCTCCCACTAACCCCCCTAAACACATGCCCACTCAGTGCATAAACCCTGGCAAAGGACTTAGCTTATTTCTGAGGTCATATTTGGAGCTCATTACTACCAGTTATATGGAACAGTATTTAATGCTAGTCACCTTTGGTCTTTTAGCCTTGGCATAAAGTTTTAGCCTTAAAGTTTAAGTTAATTCTGTTTATATGGATTGAGAAAGAAAATCACAAGTTAGAGTGAAAAGTTGACATTTGAGGTTTTTATAAAGTAATCATGGGGAATTCCCTGGCTGTCCAGTGGTTAGGACTCGGTGCTTTCACTGCCGGGGCCCGGGTTCAATCTCTGGTCAAGGAACTGAGATCCTGTAAGCTTTGAGGCCAAAAAAAAAAAAAAAAAGTAATTACGGGAAGAATTCTTTCTCTTCAATACATATTTGCATTGTTAGAAGCTATCCACTAGTTGAGAAGGGGGCAGTATCTGAGTTAAAATGTAAATTAGGGGGTTCCGTTTTTTAAAAGATGTAGTAGAGGTCATTGGAGTATTTTTTTTTTCCTGTGAGTATTATGTAGTTGGGAATATTTTAAGAGAAGATGATGTGCTGGACTAAGGGGAGGTTGACAGCGTGTAAAGTTGAAATGTTGAGGTTTGGGTTCTTTCAGAAAACCTTCTGAACCAATATCCCCCTCCAACCCCTGTCCCATTTCTCTGGTCTGCTTCATTGAAAGATTGTCTATACCTACTGTGTCTCCTTTGTCTTCTCCCATTCTCTCCTCACACATCCATTGGACTTCTGTTTCATTCATGCCCCTGAAACCCATCTTGTAAAGGTCACACCAACACCTTCCTCTTGTTCAGTAGTTGCTTCTCTATCCTCATCTTACTTGACTTCCCAAAAGCATTTAACACAGTGTGTCATTCCTCATTTTCTTCTGTTTCATTGGCTATTCCTTTTTAGTCTCTTTCGCTGGCTTCTCTGTCAGCCTCATCATTTTGGAAGTCCCTAATTCTTCATCTATAGGGCCCTCTTCTTTTTTTTCCCTCTATATTTTCTCCCTATGTGATCTCATCTAGTTCTGCAACTTTAAATAACCCATCTCTATGCTGTAGTTTATATTTTCGGCTCTGCCCTGTAGTCTGGAGCCCTGTGTCCCATTGCAAAGTTGACATCTCCTCTGGGATGTCTAGTAGGCATTGCAGATTTAACGTGCCCAGAGCAGACTCTGGTGCCTCCGCAGTCCCCACGCATGCATGTGTGAATACAACTTGAAGTTACTTTTTTTCATTCTAATGAATGACATTATTATCCATTATTTACTTGCTGAAACTAAAACCTTTGGGGTCATCCCTGATTACTCTTTCTTTCATTCCACATGGCTTAATTAATTAGCAAATCCTTTGGGCTCTGATTCAAAGACACTTCCTTAATCTGGCCTCTCCTTTCCATCTCCACTGTTAGCAGCTTAGTCAGCATCCTCTCTCATCTGGACCATTGCAGTGACGTCCGAGCTGTCTCTGCTTCCCCTCGCCCCCTCCACACTGTAGCCAAAGTGATCCTTTAAAACTGTAAATCAGATTATGTCTTAATCTGCTTGAAAACATTCCAGTGGCTTCGTATCACACTTAAGAAAAAGTCCAAGCTCTTTTCGCTGGCCAGCAAGGCCTCCAGGACCTGCTTGTTGCGTATCTTCAACCTCATCTCTTCCACAGCCCTTACCTAGTCACCAACACACATGTCAAAGTTATTCTTGCTTTAGAGCCTTTACTCTTGTTAGTCCTTTTTCCTGTATGCTCTTCCTCAGCTTTTCAAATGGCTGGCCTCCCTCAGATAATCCTTTTTCATATTTGACCACTCTCTAAAGTTACTTATTCCCCTCTTCACCTGAATTTACATCACCTTGTTTTATTTTTCTCTACAGCACAAAACTATCTGAAATTATTTGTATGCCATCTTCTCTTGCCTCCTAGAATAGCTTAAAGCTTCATGAGAAGGTGGTCGTAGTCTGTTCTGTTTGCCACTACTATACTCCAGAGATACACTGAACTAGGTGCATATATTAGGTACTAAATAAATAGTTACTGAAAGCATAAGTGAATTTAAAAATGAGTATATTACTTGAAAAGAAAAAAGTTCTAGAGCCATGATATTGCTTTCTAACAGGGAAAGAACTCAAAAAAGAATACAAGAATGTAGTATACTTGAACCAAAACGCGGGCACTTGATTATTGGAAGGGTTGTTGTTGGAAAAAGGAGAGGATATTATGTGCCAGTGATCTAAGGCTGTTAGAGCGGGAGTTTGAAGGAACAGTGAGGATTTAGCTAAAAATGTAACCTCAGGAGTCAAGGCACGACCGCAGTAGCTGAGGCCTAGAAAAGAGAGAATGATAGCAGAGTCTGCCACCAAAGTTCTCCCTCAGTTTTTTAATATGTGCCTTCAAATTCCCTCTTACTTTTTCACTGTGCCTTGAGCTCTGTGTTTTGGTCTGTTCTGAAGTGGGTGAAGGACAAGTAGGTGGAAAGTAGGACTTGGGTATGGACCAGGGTTTGGTAAACTACAGTCAACAAGCCAAATCCAGCCTGCATGCCAAGAATGGTTTTTATATTAAATGGTTGGAAATAAAAGAGAAGTAATATTTCAAGACACATAAAAATTATGTGAACTTCAGACTTCATTATTCATAAAAAAGGCTTATTGTGATACAGCTAACCTTATTTGCTTATGCATCGTCTATGCTTGCTTTCATGCTACAATAGCAGAGTTCAGTAGTTGTAACAGACAGTCTATCCCACAAAGTCTAAAATCTTTACTGTCTTCCCTTTACAGAAGTTTGCCAACTGTAGGTATGTCCTTTGACAAATAACTTTTCCTTATGGACCCATGGAGAATAATAAACTTGATATAGCTGAGGATGTATAGGCCCTTTTTCCTCATGGTGACAATTATTTCTTCTCTTTTTATAGCAATTCAGTTAAACCCCAGCTATATCAGGGCAATATTGAGGAGAGCAGAGTTGTACGAGAAGACTGACAAGCTGGATGAAGCCCTGGAAGACTATAAATCCATACTAGGAAAAGATCCGTCAGTACATCAAGCAAGAGAAGCTTGTATGGTAAACCTAATTTTTTTACAAAAATATTTTCTATTCCTTGTGTTGCTACTCGGTGAATGTTAAATGATCCTTAGAGACACAACTATATGCCATTTCTAAGGTTTTGAGAAGCTTATCAGAATATATGGGAGATAGAACTTTGAAGTGGTGGCCACACACCCACTGTACCATGTACTATTTAATCTTCATTCTAAAAGTGTTATCTGTGTAAACCTCTAACCTCTAGGGTTGACAAGAACTTTATTTCATTGCTGGACTGGGAAATCTTGTCTACTTGTAGGTGCCTGGTTTAGTTGAAAGTGAGTCTTAATATTATAGGTAACAAATTTCTGGTTTTCTTGTCATCCTTTTCCTTACTCAGTCACCAAGTTTCTATTCATTGTTATATGGCCAGCACATTTCCAATTGAATATATCCTAAACTAACTGTCTTATCTCTCTTAAAATGACTCTAGTTCTTGTCCTTGGCACTAAAAATCCTTTTGCTTCTAAATGACATAATATTTTTTATGTCACTTGTAAGTTAACTAAATGTTACTGGTTCTCCTCCCTTTAAAAATAACTCCAGATTTGTGCTCTTACCTTTAGCACCACTCTTTGATTATCTCTAACGCACAGCGCAACATACACTCTGAAGGATATATTGCAGTATTGGATGTGTATATCTTCTTGCCCCAAAATAATGCATGTTCAAGTAAGTTCGACAAACACTGGCTTTAACCAAACAGGTTTCTTTGCTGCCAGACTTTTCAGAGGGCCATTAGGATGGAGAGGTCCGTTCTGAACCCAGTATGCCGCAGAGGTGGCGGGAGCCGGGGAGCTACAGGAGTCTTTTATTTAAGCCAGACTTCTCGGTTTTGTTTTTGGAATTGAGGGCACTTGCCAACATTTACAAATGGAAAGATTTTACTAGATGAAAATCTAAGTCGGGCTCCTCTTGAAATTGGAAGATGCGGACGTGCTGGCTCCTCCTTGAGCTCCCACACGCTGGTGCTCAGCTGGCGCTCTCGATTCCACGCTGAGCGTGCCCGTACTCTTGCCTTACACCCGGTCCATTACTCACTACCTTTCCCCTCTGGCCCCTGAGGGCATCTGAGGCCCTGCTATACAGGTTCCCGTCTAGTTCACGGGACTCTTATTCCACCAAGCGGACCTGAGAAATGTTGACTCCTCTCCCTGCACTAATATTCTAGGTGGTTTGGGTTTTGTTTTGCTTTGTTTTTATACCCACTTGAGGTGAATTCTTTCAATAACAACAGATCTTTTGAATAATGGGAAAAGGGCTCGTTTGGGTAATTTAAATACATAAGCAATCTGAAAGCAGTTTTAATCCTTTTTCTGACTTCTAACATATCTCTGAATGGTGTTAGGATTAACTTAAATTTGACATGAGGAAAGGGAATAGAGTTCTTAAAATCTTGGCTAAATTCTTGGTAGCCTTTATCCTTGTCAAATTAGTTTTAAGAGTTCCGTGAAAGGGAGCCTTTTTTTAAAGCTAGCTGTTATATGCATGAAGAATTTATTTTATCTTGAGTTATTACAACTGAGTTAATACTGGACTCCCAGAGTACTTGGGGGCAATTACAGAGCTAAAAGTGACCATAGAAGACTCTAATCTAGGCCAGCTGGAGGTGATTTGGTTCCAGGGGGCGTTTGGCAGTGTGGGGAGGCACTTTGTCATGTCTCGGAGGGTACTGTTGGCATCTGGCGGGTGGAGGCCAGGGATGCTCTAAACATTCTATGATGCACAGGACAGCCCTACAGCAGTTACCCAGTCCAAAATATCAGTAGTGCCAAGGTTGGAACGATCTGATGCTTTCTCAACAAATTAGATTATATAAAGAAAGGACTTCAAGTTAAAAAGTACAAATGAGCAAAAAAATTAATAATATAAATATCACCTATAATCCCACCACCTAAATATACCCCTGTAAACATCTGGTTTGTATCCTTTCAGACATTTTCTGTGTGTGTGTGTGCGTGTGTGTGTGTGTGTGTGTGTGTGTATTTTTCACCAAGTTTTTATTGAGGTCCTCCTTGGGCCACTCTGCTAAGAACTGGGAATATAGCATTGAACCAAACCAAACTCCAGTCTCTGTAGCTCCCCTGCAGACAGACATTTGTTCTTCTCTATGTTTAATAGGCTCATGTATATGTACTTAACCTGATCTCACTTTCACATGAGGTTTTTAATGTTTCTCAAATTCAAAATAAAGCCAAAAGATTTTCACAACCCACGTTTTGGTGCTTTTTCCCTCAGAGGTTACCTAAGCAAATTGAGGAACGTAATGAAAGACTAAAGGAAGATATGTTAGGTAAGTCTGCTTCCCTTACCTTCTCTTGACCATAAATAGCTAGGAAGCCGGGGATGGGGCCATCAGTACTTTTATTCATTAGAGGAGAATACAGCAGTTAGAAATAGCTTTGGGGCCCTTTGTTTGTTGTGGGCACCAGTACCGTGGGGCTAGTGAGTTCTTAGCCATTTTTAACTCTAGAAGGAGCAGTGTGGTTTAGAGTGGATAGCAGCTTTTCAAAAACGAAACTTCCATTTTGTGGGGGTTTTTTTTTTTTCTTTTTGTTGGAAAATTTTCCTCCCTTCAAGAATGCAAACATAATTAACTCCCAACCTGGGCTGCCACCAACCTCTATTTCAGGTCATGAATTTCATAAAAACAGTTGAATTTCTTCATTTGAGTAAACAACTTCAGGTTTTTTGGTTTTTGTGTTTTTTATCTATCTATCTATTTATTTATATTTGGCTGCATTGGGTCTTCGTTACTGTGTGTGCACTTTCCCTAGTTGTGGCGAGCGGGGGCTACTCTTCATTGCGGTGCGTGGGCTTCTCATTGCGGTGGCCTCTCTTGTGGAGCACGGGCTCTAGGTGCCCGGGCTTCAGTAGTTGTGGAGCATGGGCTCAGTAGTTGTGGCGCATGGGCTTAGTTGCTCCGTGGCATATGGGATCGCAGGGATAGAACCCGTGTCCCCTGCATTGGCAGGCGGATTCTTAACCACTGCGCCACCAGGGAAGCCCCTTCCTTTATATTCTTAATGAATACAAGGATCATGAATAAAATATTGGTTCTGGGTGTCACCTCCCATAGTAGCGCCTTAAAGGGAGAAATCACTCTCAGCCCCACAAGAGCTTTCTGGTGTTCTTCCTTCCTTGTTACAGATGAGCCAGCTTTGATTCGTGTGCTTTGAGATTTTTGGAGGCTGGTCCCTCTAGAAGCGCAGAGTAACGTCACTTGCTTAGAAGTTCTGAGCAAGCTTTTTGCAGTGGACTGCATGATTTTTAGTGCTAAGTTTCTCTGGGAATGATGGCTTCTGCTGGAAGATTGGCAGTTAAAGATTTTTAAAACTGCTTAACACCATTTGTCACTGGCATTTAGTACGTTATGTGATTATTTAACAAAATGAGATTGTCTTTAAGTTTGTTCGATCATCTTGACTTGCTTTTCCTTTTCTCTCTGTAACGACTTCCTTTTTGTTAGAAAGAAGAGCTACGTACCCCCCTTCTTGGGGGAAAAAAAATTCTAATTGGAATTATGAATGGGCAGAACATGCTTACTCCTCTCTTCTTAGTCTGTCATTTATAAATGTCATCCTTAGAGCAGGAGTGGAGACCCAGGGTGGCAATCACTCATAGTGCTACAGTCCTTGCCAGAGAGGGACAGTCATGCTGACTTTAGATTTGAGGAAAGGGGTCAGTAACTGGAGTGTTTGCTTTTGTCCTTTTCTCTGGGAAGATAGCCTGGTGGCTGTTATAGCCAGGGAATGACTTAAGGGTATAGTCAGTGGTGTGATGAGCCGGGAAAGATGTCCTGGACAGAGCACCCCAAGAGGCTCAGAGCATTTAGCTTCTGTTCCAACAATTCCGGGGGATCTGCTCTTCCTACCTCAGTCGAGAGGCTGTCCTGACCTGGAAAACCTAGAGCTGTGACATGAAACTCTTTGATTCCCCCAAAGGATCAAGAGAGATGGGTGAGGCACTGCCCCAGAAACCCTACCTTCCTTTCACCGGCACCCAGCTGCTCGGCACACACAGGGGCCTTGTTCCGCATCCAGCCCAGGTTTTCCACTTGTACCATGCCCTCCTTCCACCTTCCTGGAACATGTTGCTGGTCTCCTGATTCCTGAAGTTACTCAGGTGTTCACTCCTGGCCATTAGCATCCTAATGAGTGTGTAGTTGTGAACTGAATTAAGAATATACCACCTTGTATGTTCCATGTTCAAAAGCTAGATTTGGAGCTGGAAGTAACTTGTACATTATCATTGTGAGGATGCAACAGGTCTTTTTGGCTATTCCTGTGCATTGTGTGCCTCTCTGCAAGTGATAGAGGGGCCTAGAATCATCTCCCTTGCCAAATATCACAAGAGAGCCTCGAAATTGTTACTGTCCCTTAAAACTGCTGAAGCCGTACATCTGGGTATGGAAATCCAGGCTCTATTTTCACATTTCTCTTCCTGCTGCCCTGCCTGATACTCGTTACACACTGTACACTTGCCATGCCGTGTGCTCTGGCCACTGGAGAATCTCTCAGCCAGTTCCGTGTTGCTGTCACCCCCTCAGTAGGGAATGTCAGTTTTGGGTTTTCAATGCCCTGCTTTTTGCTTCGTTACCTAGTTGCTGCTTCTGTAGCTTCTCCTCTTTGATAGTTCTTGGTAAGGCTTCTTTCCACTTCCACGTTCACCCAAGAGCTGACTAATATATAAGCATTTGAATTGAGTGTGAATTTTATTTTCTTTATTCTGTGCTCTCTTAATTTGCCTTTTGCTCAGAGGAAAGCAAGAGTCACAGCTTCATGGCTTAGTGTTCTGCCTCATAAGAGGAAATGCAGTGTCAGGATTGACTTGGATGCAATTCGTTTCTCCTAATAGGAGAAAGTCCTAAAGGATCTATTCCACTGGTCCCAACCTCAGTGATCTTAAGGAGGTGAAAACAAATGGCCTTCCAGGCTCTCCTGATGGTAAACTGACTACTGCAGTCAGTATCTCCAAAGAGAAATTATGTGTAATGAGTCAGTTGGGTTTTTATAATACAGTGTTGCTTGGAGACACAGAAGTTAATATTTATCAGAACTGGATCCAGTGCCAAGCCTTCATCTCTAGTCATAAATGTTCTTGTCTGAGCACAAGCAGTGTTGGACTCTTCTCTTTGCCATGGGATCTCTTATAGATGAGATCCTAACAGTTAGGGACATGTGGGCACATTCAGGCTGAGTCATGTCAGATTTGCTACAAGTGGAAATAAAGGAACCTAATACTGCCCATGTCAGGGGAGGGGTGGGATTTGGCAGCCAGTGGAAAGTGTGGCAGATAGGCTAGTTTGGCAGATGATCCTGTCTTGGGTTCAGCGAAGCTGCCCTCGTCTCTGAGCGCCCACCCTGACTGTGAACAGCAGCAGGAAGATGGTGAGTGTGTGTGTACAGAGCTAGGAAGGAGCACGACCTCTGCTGAAGGTGCTTCTCTGCCACCATCAACAGTAAAAGGTGAATCTTGCAGACACCGAAACTTATTGGTTGCACCTTAGTGTTGTGCTCTGTTTCCTTATGTTCCCATTGGCCCTACGCTAATTTCAGAGCTTTTTTTAATTGAAGTGTAGTTGATTTAAAATATTGTGTTAGGTTCAGGTGCACAGGTAGCGATTCAGTACTTTTGCAGTTTATACACCATTTGAGGTTATTACACGATAATGGGTATAATTGCTGGTATATCCTTGTTGCTTATCTATTTTATATATATAGGTTGTGTCTGTTATTTCCATACCCCTAATTTCAGAGCTTCTTCACCTGACAGTGTAAGCATCAGATGTTTGTTCAGTGAATAAACAGCCTCTTTCCCATTATGCCTCACCAGCTTTCTGTCAGAACCACCTCCAGGCTCTCCTCTTGTGGCTTATTCTTCACTTTGCCCCGTAGCATTATTAACCCTGAAAGCTCTTCTCAAACCATCAATCGCCTTTGCCGCGCCCTGCCACCTCCCTTTCAGCCCTTTGGACACACTGCCCACCCTTGCCTGCCTGTCTCCATACATTTGATCCTACCATTTTTGCCTGCACTGCCCACTCCCTCTATCTCACATGGTTGCAGTCCTGCCTGTCCTTCGGTGGTGATTGAAATGCAGGCTCTCACACACAAAGCTCTGCCAGATCTCCCTCCTCCCTGCCCAAGCTGGAGGGCATCTTCTTCTTACTGACTCTCATAGCATTTTATATCTCAGCTACATGTGAACTGGCTTCTGTGTGTGTCTTATCTTCCATCATATCTAAGCTTATTTTGGTGTAAAGACAGTGTCCTGTATCTTTGCATCCCCGCCACACATGTACTTAGTACATGTTGGTTGAATTAATTCAAGTCAGGTTAACCTCAGGTCTTCTCTAATGGGGAGATTATTTAATCATGTGTCTTTTTTAACGTGTCTGCTACCTTCCAGGGACTTCAGGTACGTTTTCTATTTAGCAAGCAGACTTCCCATCTCCTGTTCTACTGTTCTGGCGATAATAGTCAAGCTATTGTGGAATGTTATAAAGGCAGAGATACGAGAATAAAAGGAAAAAAGAATGATGCCATATGTGTTAGGTTGGGTCCTTGGAGAAACAGAAGGCAAGATTTGATTAGAAACACAAGAGAGGACTTCCCTGGTGGCGCAGTGGTTAAGGATCCGCCTACCAGTGCAGGGGACACGGGTTTGAGCCCTGCTCCGGGGAGATCCCACATTGCCGCGGAGCACCGAAGCCCGTGCGCCACAACTACCGAGCCTGCGCTCTAGAGCCCACGAGCCACAACTACTGAGCCCAGTGAGCCACAACTACTGAAGCCTGTGCAGCTAGAGCCCGTGCTCTGTAACAGAGAAGCCACCACAATGAGAAGCACGTGCACTGCAACAACGAGTAGCCCCCGCTCGCCTCAACTAAAGAAAGCCCACGCGCAGCAACGAAGACCAAGCACAACCAAAAAGAAAAAAAGAAAAAAAAAAAAAGAAACACAAGAGATTTATTGGAAGAAACACCTGCAAGGGAAAGGGAGGCAGAGGGGCAGGAGCTGGACGTGAGTGGGAGCCGCGTCAGGTCCCTGGGAGGAGGGAGGGCTTGGTTCGGAGAAGTCCTGCACTGCAGGGTGGTGCCAGGGACGTTTCAGCAAAGCCACTGGGGAGCCACAGTTAACCTGTCACAGGCCCCTGCTCTGTCCCTGCCCTGCTCCGTCACTGACTGTGGACAGCCGTGGGACCCTCGACCTCTGCATGGAGGGAACTGTGCTCCCTGCGTCTGGAGAAGCACATATTTATGGCTGCCACTCCACAGAATCAGCCAAGCTAAGGTCCAGGGCTCCTTGTGGCGGGCAGGTCCTCCAACCAGTTAGGCAAAGTCCGGGCCTGCGCAAAGCCCCCTGCCCCCTCTGCATCTGCAGTTTGAATCCTTGTGCCCTTGCTTTGCTGCCGTCTCTAGGTGCAGCGGCCTCCTCACCACCTTCAGTAACTGCTCCCCGTCCTTCAGAGCCTTGTCTCTCCTGAAACGCCTTCCTCACACCCCTGAATGGGCCTGCGAGCTCCTCTGCGCTCACCTCAGTCTTGTGTCTGGCTGCCCACTAGGCTGTGAGCATCTCAGAAGCCAAGAATAACTTGTATTCTTTAGATCCCAGTGCCTCCTATAGTAGATACCAAGTCATATGTACATTTGCGCTTCAAATTGTTGTTCTGGCAGTCGAGGTGGACTTGCAGTGATCCCTCCAGCCCAGGTGGTGGCCCCTGGCTTGTTCGACAGTCCACAGTGGCCCTGGGACAGGCTCTTCCTGGGGACCATGATGTGAGTGGCCCTTGAGGCTCCTTCTTACTTTTTACTCACTCCGTGTCAGAAGAGCCAAGAATTGTGCCAGCAGTGACATTTTATTGGGCTTCTTTAAATGATTGTTTCCTCGCTGTCCTCTCTCCTCTCTCTTCAGCCCCAAGACAGACAGACTGCCCAAGTTCTGGCTAACTCACGCTCTCCTGAAGGGGGCGGGGTGGGGGGCCTGTTTTCTTGGCTTGTTGCGATCCCCTATTCACGCATCCACCTACCTGCAGCAGTTTTCTGGGCCTCTCTGTGCTGCCACCTGTGCGCAGGGACAAGGCCTGTGCCGGTGATTCTCCTTAATCAGCAGCACTGAGCATATGTGTTCCAGGTTTAAGTTTGGGAAGGCTGCCTGGAGAGTGGTCAGTCTGGGTTTGGGGAACTTACTGTGAATATGGTGAGCTGCCAGGGGGCTAAATCTTAGACTGAGTCCGAAAGTTGCCGAGAGTTACTAGAAAAGGCCTTGACATTTAAAGGCCATGCATCTTCAAGTTCTTTACCTGGGGTTTATTTCAAGGTGGGAGACCTCAGAGGGACAAAGCTGCTAACAAGGGCAAGGTGGGAAGGAACTGTGTGTCTTCATTTTGTCTTTATGACATGAACTCACCTGGTGGTTAACAAGGAAAGCCTGAAACTTGGGGAGGGAGACTGGGCTGTTGAGGTGATGGTGCTGTGCAAGAGAACAAGATCTCCCGTCTCCCGAGAAATGATGAGTTCGGTGTGGAAGCTAAGACTTGCAAAAGCAGGAGGCTCTTGAGTTTGAACCCAGGTACAGTAGAAACCCGCAGAGTGGAATTAGATTCACTAAGTCACTCTGCTGTTCCATGCAGAATAGACTTGGGGGGGCCTTGGCCCTCCCCGTCAGGCTTGGCCTTCAGGCCCCAGGAAGAGCAGCCCGTCGCTCATCCCACAGCCTGTCCCCTGGGGGCTCTGGCCAGCCTGGACAGGAGGCTTTGCTGTCACAGCAGGGCTCCCTTGTGCTCCTCTATGCAAGCCATGGCTCAGGATGGACGGCGCTGAAGTGATTGCTCTGCTGTATATTGGGGGCTGAGGGTTTCATGATTTGAAAAGCAGGAGTTTCTTTTTAACTGCAGAGAATCTCTTTTTATCTTGTAATCAGATAGTGAGGCGCTTGGGGTCTTCCTGCTTCTGCTGACTCCCTGTATTTACTGGACTTTTTGCTTTTACATTGCAGGTAAACTAAAAGATCTTGGGAACTTGGTTCTTCGGCCTTTTGGGCTCTCCACAGAGAATTTCCAGATCAAACAGGATTCCTCTACTGGCTCCTACTCCATCAATTTTGTTCAAAATCCAGATAATAACAGATAACAGAGATAACAGTGGCTTTTAAAGCTGGCTTGGAAATTGTATGCTGCCTGTGTTAGCAAGGGGAAAGGCCCTGCCAGTGTTTAACGTTTAACAGCATCTTATCTCAAAGACAGGCTACCTAGTAGAGGCCAGTGCTCCCTTCTCCCCCTTGTTTTATGATCAGGGTGAAACACAGTTCCTGATGTAATGAGCCTAATTTGATTTCCATTTTAAGGTGGTGTCTGTGCAGCTGTTGCCTTGGTTCTGGCTGTTCTTTGTTTTGTCCGGGAGAAAGCCTGCTTGTCAAGGCTCACCTCCCCGAGCTCCACAAAAACAAGCCCAGCTGGAGTCTCCTGGGCCGAGCAGACCTGCTGGTCGGAGACTGCCCAACCACGATCGATGGGGTCCCCACCTGCTGTTCCCTCGCCCCGATCACACGCACTGCTCAGGCTGCCCTGCGTGGGCTCCAACATCTCCTAATTTCCTCTGTGGTAATAAACGCTTTCTGTGACAGTCTGAGCTGGGTTGTGAATTTTGTCCCCATAACAACAGCTAAAGCAGTGTTGGTTTCGAGCAGTGTTACTGGATTCCACAAATCTGCCCAGAGTCTTAGTTGCCACCTTGAAGATGATCTTGAAGAGCTGACCATCCTACCACGTATTAGGATTCAGAAACTCCACCTTACAAGCTATCCCAGGCCTCTCCAGGTTTGTGCAGATAATTAAGGAATCAGTGTTTTTGACCAAGTATCAATCTTAGTCATTTCAACTTAAAATAGCTTCATTCAGGAATGGTGGTATGTGAATCCCAGAACAAAACCATATTCTTTTAGATTCCATGAACCCAGAAGTTTCAAAGGTAGATTTTTTTTTTTAGTCATCAGTGCTGGTGAAAAGCTTTTCATTGTTATGATTTGAGTGTCAAGGGCAGTGACGTGCAGGTTTCATCTTAGAAATGAAGTAAGTACACGTATAATTCTGTAAGTGACATGCAGTAGGCATGCTCCCAGTGTTAAGAATTGTGCTGTTGTTTTGCTCTGTTCCTCAGAGCCCCTCAGCATGTGTTGGTAGGCAGTGGAGTCACATGCTGTCTCCACACTTTGTGATTTGCGAAGCCTTTATCCCAGATTGAAATGGAATTCCTCATACACTTTATAAGGGGAAAGGGAGGAGAATGTGGTTTTTAATTTTGCTTTGCTATCTTTATGATAAATCCGGCATCTGATTTTTCCCGAAAGGTGTGTGTGAGAAATCGTACAAGTACAGAAAGCTTAGCTGAAAGCCGTGTGGCCCACCCAGTGGTGATGAGTGCATCCTGTGCGGCCGGTGCTGTGCACTGCTGCTCCAGCAGCAGCAGCCCTTCTCAGACCTCTGATCTCAGGACCCTTCCACACTCAAAACAATTTAAAGAGTGCTTTGGTTTATGTGGGTTACATCTCTTCATACTTACCGTATTTGAAATTAAAACAAATTTCTTAAATATTAATTCCTTTGAAAACAACAAAATATATTTTATGTTAATACAAGTATTTTAGAAAAACTAAAAATCACATTTTAGTAAGAAGAGAGACATCATTTTACATTTTTGCAAATCTCTTTAACGTGTGGCTTGATAGAACATAGAAGGATTCATCTGCTTACGTACTCATTTTGTCACGATATCACATGTCATGTAGCCTGGAAAATTCTGCATACCTGTGTACTTGTGACAGAATAATGCAAATAACCTCTTATGAAAGGGTCTCAGGAACCCCTGGGGAGCCTTGGACCACCTTGAAAACCACTTTGTCAGATTATGACTTTTGAGCTCAGTTGCTGAGACTAAGCAATGGTCAGGGCTGAGATTCCTGAAGGCTATCTGAGTCTCCAAGGAATAGGAAATAAACCTGTTTGCCTGGAAACAGCCTTTCTTAAGACAGTACCATTGCCGCAGGGGATAGAGGTTTTGCTTCTTAGGCATCCTTCCTCCTCCTCCCCGCTTCCTCGCTGAAATCTTAAAGGAGGCCAAACAAGGCGAATATTAAGTGCTTCTAGTGATTGGTCCAAGTAATATACCTGGAAAGGAAAGGAAGGAAACCTAAGTAGGTGTGAGTTTGCTTAAGCCAGGGAGTTTATCTATCACTGTTACTTTTCTGCTTCCAAAATCTGGAAGAAAAGATAGATTCAAACCTTTTGAAAATGTTTGTTCAAACCTACAGAAAAATCCTGAGAGGGTTGAAAAGTAGGAAGAGTGTACGTACGAGGGAGGAAGGTGGCCTGTTGCTAAGGTGATTTAAAATTCTGTGATGCCTTCCTACCCTCACAAAAAAAAAAAGGTATACCAGAATTTACTTTTAAGGTAATCACACTGTGACATCGTATATATACTTATGCCAGTGACATTGCAATGGATCAAAATAATTTTGGAATCTCCTTCTAGAATTTCCTTGAAGGCTCAAACACATGTATAAAAATACTATGATCTATTCCCTATCTGCCTCCATGAATAGACCAAGAGCTTCTGGAAGGTAAGGGCCATATTTATATTCTTAATAGCACCAGCAGCTACTGCTTTACTAGAAATTTAGTAAATTGGTATTAAAGGATGTTCCACGAGAAGTGGTCTCAAAGTGAACCACCATTCTATCCAAACGTCTGTAGATTCTATGGCCTTTATTTAGTACCTGTTTTTTTGACGCTTAAAAAGACATTCGTAAAGAGTCCCTTTAAGCTGGTCGAGCGCATCTTGTGCAGCCATGTAGAATGTCCTCAGATGGTGATCATTCAACCTGGCCTGTAAACATATGCCTCCTGTTTTTTTTGTTTTTGTTTTTGTTTTATTTTTGGCTGCGTTGGGTCTTCGTTGCTGCACGGGCTTTCTCTAGTTGCGGGGAGCGGGTGCTACTCTTCACTGTGGTGGCTTGTTGCGGAGCACAGTCTCTAGAGCACAGGCTCAGTAGTTGTGGCGCACGAACTTAGTTGCTCCGCGGCATGTGGGATCTTCCCGGACCAGGGCTTGAACCCGTGTCCCCTGCATTGGCAGGCAGATTCTTAACCACTGCGCCACCAGGGAAGCCCTGCCTCCTGGTTTTTAAATTCTCATTTTTGCATCTTGTATATTTACAAGGATTTGTGTTGAGACTTTCAGATATCCCCAACTTCTCCTCTAGTTTCAGGCTCCCCTCCTTCTCCCAGGTCATCTTGTGTTCTCCGTATATGTTTCCACACCGTCTCCCAGTTCTCACATGAGCAGCTTTTCCGTTCATGGGAGCCTCTGCCCAGGAAATGGCACTGTCACTACAACAAATTCACACTTGAATGGTAGTTTTTCTGTGCAGAGTTTACTGTGGATTAGTTCATTTTCCACACATCATGGAAGTATGGTTGAATCCTAGTCTTTAAAATCCAACCTCTTTTTCTAAGAACTCTGACTTTCCACATGCGTCTTCCTCCCATCACAAGCACTGCAGCTGGTTTCTCGTTCCCCTGCCCTTTAGCTCCTCCCCCCCCCCCCCCGCCCCCACCCACCCAAACGTCTCTTATTGCGTTGTTGTGCTTATAGGCCTAGAGAATGTTAACACCATGCCGCGATGTGGAGGCTGGGAGTGGCCAAGCCTGCTAGCTAATGACCTGAACATTGCAGCCCGGGGCCCGCGTGTGAGCTTCAGTTAAACTGACAAGACTTCACACATTGGACCTCCAGAGTTACTCAGGTACCGTCAAAGGCGTGAATGTTTGTTGAGTCCTACAACACTTTGTGTAGTTGAAGGTAGGGAACTGCTTTAGCAAATGTTGCTGGGCCTGGTGATTATTTCTGGTGCTCCTCAGGTCTCTGTCGTGGTTTCCAAGCCTATCGCTGAGTTACATCTCACACAGCTCTCAAGCTAGAATCCAGACTGCTTTAGGCAGACCAGGCACAGGGACTTTACGGAAGCATGTTCCAGTCTGATTGGACTGCCGTGGAATGGGGAGCCGGCAGCGGCTCTGTTAATTGTGAACCTGATTGGAAGGTGTATTTGGAAGGTTGTCCGTCTGTTCCCAAGAGCTAAATAAGCAGACCTGCAAATTCTTTTACAACTGGTTTAGCAAAACTTGGAATGTCAAAAGGGAAGGCTGTGATAGGAGACCAAGGAGGATGGGAACAGCCAGGCAAGTTAATGGCTGCTTTAATCTTGAGAAAGATCTTTAAAGGGAAGGGCCCAATAACCCTCCAGACCAGAGTGCAAATCTGAGACACGGCACAGGACAGGAGAAATCAGCAACTTAATTAAGCGCCTGCCCTTTCCCTCTCGGCTCTTTGTGCGTTCCCGCTGTGTGAAGGGAAAGCCTGCGGCTGCCCGAGCTCAGTGTCCTTGGTGAGCTCAGTCTCCTTGGTGCGACTGAGCCTGCAGCCCAGCGGTTGCCACCAGCCCACTGTTCTGTCGGTGTTGCTCTCCGATCACTTCCGCTTTTGACCCTGCCTTTCACCTCCCTGCCTCGTCCCTCCAGTATTCCTTAAGACGCTGTACTCTTCCTCTTCTACTCCTGTGGGTGTATGCTGTGTACTCGATACACACCCCACACCCTAGTAAAATCTCCTGGAAGCAATTTCAGTGAGATGTTTATGATTCTTTTCAGCCTGCCCCCTCTGCACTTCAGTAGTAACAAGCTTAGTCCTTCCATCACCTGGATTTCCTTTAAAAAAGCAAGTATGTGGACATTCAATACCACATACTTCCAGAAGTGGCTGGAAATTCTGTTCCTTCAGGGAGCTAGCTGCACAGCTACGCAGAGAAGGGAGGTTTCCAGTCACTTGTCTGGAGAGCGGCCTTGAGCCCACACTAGACCAAGTCCATTAATACTGCTGAAAATGAGAAATGGACTGCTTGCTACCAGCCAGTCCAAGAGGTGGGGCTAAAATAAACCACAGAGCATCAGAGTGACTGCTTAAGACCCTTCAAAGGGCAATCAAAGAAACTAATGATAAAATCAGTTTATGAAAACTAGCGAGGATGTCCTCATGTTTCAAAGTATCAAAAATTTCAATCTTCCTGGCTAAGAGCTGGTAACTGTTGAAGGAAGGGATGGGTAAATGGGGTTTGTTGTACTCTACCGTTACAAATGTTTGAAATATTCTGATAAAAATATTCCATTTTCTTCTAATTTCTCAACCCTCTGAGGGCTATAAGCTAGGAATAAGCTCCATCACACAGAAGTTAATTCAGCCAGACTAGAAATATGACTCCCTACACCGTTTCCTTTCACTCAAGGGGAAACTTTGTAAGCTCACATTTTCCCCTTAGCTAAAGCATGGCAGAGCCTGTTGCCCCACTGCCAAGGAAGCCCACAGCTAATAATCTGGCCATGATTCAGTCCCAGCTGCTAGTTCCGGCTTGCTGAAAAATACAGCCTACCCAGATGGCAACGCCTATCAGGCACTGGGACCCCTCAGCCATCAGGCATCATGACAGATGTGAAGGGAGTCAACCCAGAGGCTCCTTAGGAAGCCCTTAGTTCCAAACGTGAGGAGCTAGATCTGCAGATAGTGGAACCTCATTG